AAACATCTACTTCCTGTATCTTGGCTACGAAGCATAGGGTCACTAAAGCGATGACACATGCCAAAATTGAAGCTGCTCTACAGGACGGAGTTTGCTCTTACTCTAAAGTAGCCATTCTCAACCAGGGTTTCTCCAGAGGTTGTTAGGGTTCCTTGGGCTGTGGCTCATTGTCCTCCTATCTGATGGTACCTGGACTGTTCTGGGTCAAAAGCCACTTGGAAGAACCAGAGACATGACACCAATTGATTTTTTAAGCTGTTTGTAAGGGTGGCATTCTGACCACTACTGTAAGGTGGGTTATTCCCACTGATCACCAGTGTAAGGGGCATTCTTTCCACTGACTCTCAATGAATTCATTTTATCAGGGATTCCCTGAGACCTGAAAATTATTTCAATTGGGGTAAGAAAAGGTTGAGAAAGACTGTTCTAACGTCTGGCAACCTTGAGTTGACAAGTTTTCACTTCCTGACTTTGATACATCTCTCCTAGGACCTTGACCCTTAGAAACACCATACCCATTGATATCTCAATAGCCATGTATACCAAGGCAGCCCAGGAAACATCACCCTCCCTTCTCTCCCCTCCTACCCTCATCATTCTCTCCTGACCTTTTTCCGATAACAGCCTGCCCCATATCCAACCCCCGAGCTATAGCTGGGGAGGGGCATATAGCGATCATCTGGATAGCTATGTACTCTTATTGTAGAATGTTGTTCACCCACTTGAGAGTATATTTTCCAACAATTACACATCAGGGAATGCTTACCTTGCTGTTTCTATAAGTGACCCTTCATTTAAACATACACTCACCGGCCAATTTATTAGATCCACCTGTTCAATTGCTTAGTAACACAAGTTGCAAATCAGCCAATCACATGGCAGCAACTCAATGCATTTAGGCATCTAGACGTGGTGAAGACGACTTGGTGAAGTTCAAACCGAGCATCAGAATGGGGAAGAAAGGGGATTTAAGTGACTTTGAGCAGATGGGCTGGTCTGAGTATTTAAAAAAACTGCTGATCTACTGGGATTTTCATGCACAACCATCTCTAGGGAAATCCAGACTCATCAGACCAGGCAATGTTTTTTTCAATCTTCCATTGTCCAGTTTTAGTGAGCCTGTGCAAATTGTAGCCTCCGATTCCTGATCCTAGCTGACAGGAGTGGCACCCGTAGTGGTCTTCTGCTGCTGTATTTCAAAAACTGCTGATCTACTGGGATTTTCACGCAAAACCATCTCTAGGGAAATCAAGACTCATCAGACCAGGCAATGTTTTTCCAATCTTCTATTGTCCAGTTTTGGTGAGCCTCTGCGAACTGTAGCCTCCGATTCCTGATCCTAGCTGACAGGAGTGGCACCCGGTGTGGTCTTCTGCTGCTGTATTTGAAAAAACCGCTGATCTACTGGGATTTTCCCGCACAACCATCACTGGGGTTCACAGAGAATGGTCCGAAAAAGAGAAAATATACAGTTAGGAGAAGTTGTGTGGAGGAAAATGCCTTATTGAGGTCAGAGGTCAGGGGAGAATGGGCAGACTGGTTCCAGATGATAGAAAGACAACAGTAACTCAAATAACCAGTCGTTACAACCAAGGTGTGCAGAACACCATCTCCGAATGCAATGTCCAACCCTGAAGCAGATGGGCTACAGCAGCAGAAGACCACCCTGGGTGCCACTCCTGTCAGCTAAGATCAGGAAACGGAGGATACAATTCGCAAAGGCTCACCAAAACTGGACAATAGAAGATTGGAAAAAAACATTGCCTGGTCTGATGAGTCTCGATTTCCCTAGAGATGGTTGTGCATGAAAATCCCAGTCGATCAGCAGTTTTTAAAATACTCGGACCAGCCCATCTGGCACCAACAACCACGCCACGTTTAAAGTCACTTAAATCCCCTTTCTTCCCTATTCTGATCCTTGATTTGAACTTCAGCAAATCGTCTTCACCACATTTAGATGTCTAAATTGATGCCTTGTAATTGGCTGTTTAGCAATTTGTGTTACCAAGCAATTAGGACCTAATAAAAAGGCCGGTGAGTGCAGTCTGCCTTGGATTCTGATACCAGTAACTCCTCGGGGCATGGAGGGTGTAGATAACGCAAGCAGCATTTGTATACTCCCTGTATATAGCTCTGTTAAACTCAATACAATATACGGGGCCTAATGAGCCATTAAGCATTTTCTTTCTATCTAGAGCTTTGTGGTAACTTAGCCTGACACAAACCCACGAGTCTTGTCCCACCAGGGCCTGGTGACACATTATAAAGCCTCGGCTTGCAAGAGCCTTTTTTAGTGAGTTGTTGAGTCTTTTCCTCTCTAGAGCCTTGTAGTAATGAGTCTGGCCTAAACCAAATAGGTCCAGCCCTGCTAAGACCTGGCAGTTAATAAAAGTAGAACCACGAAGTGTAAGTAGCATAATATAAAGTCTCACCTTGCTAGAGCCTTTTTTGGTGAGCTGCTGAGCCTTTATTTTTCTTTCCCTAGCCTTGTAGTAACAGA